TCTCACACTCACACACACACACACACACGTCAGTCACATGTCTTAATATTGACCAAGGCTAGTTTATTATTTAAAAAGGTTAAAAGTTTTTAAAAGGTTCTGTAATATAATATTAGAATCTATATTATTTAGTTACTATAAATTAAAATACACATTAAAATTTATATCTAGCAAAAAATTGATAATTATATTTTTGTCAAAATAATTTATTATTAAATATAATAATTATAATAACTCTAATCGTGAATTGAATTCAGTTTTTTAAATAAAAAATTCATTACAATTATTTTATATTTTAAAATTTTATTTACAGTTTAATATTATATATCATAAATTTATTTTAAAACTTTAAGTCAATAATACTCCAATTTAATTAAATAGGTATTGTATTTTATAACCAAATTACTCATAAACAAATAATTTAATTTACAGTTTTTTAATTGCCATATTGAATTAATGAATATTTTTAAAAAATTATCTAAATAAAACTAATAATTAGGAAATAATTATCACCTGGCTATGTTTAAGGTATTTATACAACTCATCCGTATTCGTGAGAAACAAATCCATACAATAGTAGCCAATAGTGGGACTGGAGGAGAGCTTTTCGATAAACATATTTACATTCATCCTATGATTAAGCAACAAATTATTACCCGATATATAGGACCGTAGGGACGGGAATGGTGTATGAACTGCCGTTGTGATCCAGGTGCTAATCACATTCATCGACACTATAATCGTGTTAATAGTGATGATGAAAGTGATAGCAAATATCCTGATAACACGACATCCCTGTTGTAAGACATGAATGCGAATAGATGTGGGCCTACCGTGGCTAGGTAGTAAATGACGTAGATAACAAAAGTTTCAGTTGGTAGGTCCACTTTTCTTAATAGTTGTGATTGTAGAAAGTTGTGATTAATAAGCATTTGTTATCCGATTTTGTAGCATGGTTCATTTTACCACGAACTTATGTTTCAGATAGTATGAGCTGATAAGCCACTAGACAAATCCTACAGAGCATATGGCAGCATCTGGGTATATTTCTTGAAATATTTAATATACATGTTCAATTTTATAAATGTGAAAGACTAATAATTTTTTATAATAATAACGTAAATAAAAACATTTTGATGAGTTAATTTTACATTTAATTTAAAATATAAGACGCATAACTTTATTATATTTTATAAAACACTCGGTTACTAGTATAAACTGAAAAATATATTAAACTTCTCATTAATATCATTAATATTTAATAAAATTATAATTTGGATCAGTAAAGTGTGAGATTTACTTTTTCGACCAGGCTCACCCGTCATCCTATTGCTCTCTCTCTCTCTCTCTCTAGTTATTATGTTTGACTATTAGCTCGTAAAGTGTAACCAAAAAACTCCTATTAAAACACAATTAATATTCATTTCAATTAACAAAATAATGTGATTTTATTTAATATGGCTAATTCGTGTTATAATTTAATATAATAATAGCAAATTATGTATCACAATTTATTTTTACGTATTGTTATTACATAATAGAGTGTGAATTATGGCTGAAATAGTTTTGAACTTTTTTATGAGTTTTTACGTGTAATTTGCATATTATTTACAAAAATAATATAAAATATGGTTATCCATTAAAAATTAAGTTATTAATTTTGTCGTTTTATTGTAGTAGTGTAATAGAGCAGGGTTGATTTTATTAATGTAGCCTAATTTCATTTTTTATAGTTATATGCATTTAATATGATTTTTAAATGATAATTTATTTGCACATAGATTTTGCAAAATTTAATTCAAAATGAAAATATTTTAATTGATATACTGTATAGAAAAATAGTTTAACCAAATTTAAATATAATATAAATAAATATTATACCAATAAATAAACAATTAATTCATTACAGTCTTTACATAACACTTAAATTACGTACAGTTTAATAATTATAATATTCACTACCACTATAATACTTTTATTCACAATAATTGTTAACTATTAACTCTGATTTATTTACTATATTATAAATTTAAATTTAATAAATCTATAGAAAAAGTATTTTTAAATTTATATGCGGTCAAATCCTTTATCCAAAATTTAATTTAAATAAATATTTACACTAAACAAATAAACAAACAAGAAAATAATTACAGTTGTTACAAAACACTATAACTGCTAATAACTAATCAAAACATTCGCTACCACCTTGATATTTTTATGGCTAATAAACTCCCATTTATTTACTAGTTAATAAATCTTAAAACTAAAAGTCTTAAATATAAACTTCATTAAAAACTTGATTTTACAAACAATTTTCCTAATATACTGTTTATACACCGCATATCATATATATTATTTTGTTACACAAACATACATAACAACATACCTGTGCTCTATAACTACAGGTGATCTTTCGACACTAATTCCCTTAAACTGAGCGTAAGTTTTAAAAAAAAAGGTTTTTTAAAAAGTTAAAAAAGTTTTTTCACTAACTTTTTACACTCTTATAAAAGTTTAAGGGAAAGGGAGTTGTGGTCCAAAACCAGACGTGCTTTTCATGTGTTATATAAATATTAAGTCAAACTTGTTATACATATAATCAGTTTATTTATATATATTATATCGTTATATGGATTAAAATTAATAAAACATTTTTTTAACGATTATTAGTGTATTTTCATGTATAGTATAGTAAAAGCCTGACTATAACTGTGACCTCAATATTAGGTAAAATAACTTTTACTCCAAATTGCTTAATGTTATGGACAGTCGTGTTTTGGTGTATGTATTTCCACTGTGAATAATGTTACCCATAATATAAGTACAATCAATAATTTTTGTGCAAACATTTTATACATGTATGCAAAATAAGTGGATAATAAGTGCATTTCCGATTAAAAGGTATTTTATATTATAATTTGATTTTTGAAATATAAAAATAAAAACTTTTTTCACTTAATTTGTGAAACATTTTCCACCAAAAAATCTAATCATTTCTGAGAAAATATTTATAATGAGAAATATTTCCGGTTTTTAGTCTCAAACAAAAAATACATTTTAATATAATTTACGTTTATATCAAAAGTGTTTACTTATTATGTGTTACTCATAAAAAGTGCACAATTTTTATGACCACTTACTTGTTATACATATTTGTTAAACAAAAAAAGTTTTTTTATATATATTTTCAATACATATAACGGATTTTTCTAATGACTTATGAATTACTTATTATAGGTATTTAAACGGCGCTTAATATACACACAAAAAGGCCTTCAATTGTGCCGTTATTTTGTTACACTATTTCGTATGGCCTTTGAAACACGTTTTACACGCCATTGACTCCAATAGTGTACAGCAATTCCCAGTGAATAATCGCACCGTTATTTCGCGTATAGTGTCGGTGCCGCTCAGGTATTGTGTGCTATTGTGTGAACAGATTTTGTGAAAAAACAACTTTTGTTTTCAAGTGAAAGGATTATATAGTATTCATAACACATATTTGGGATATTGATAGGGATATACCTTTAATTAGCAACTGACATAAAAAAAAGGTAAGTGCGATAATCCCGATAATTTAATATTCATTTCACATGTGTAGTGATAAATGTTTTAAAGTTTTTTTTTAAATAGAGTACTAATTTTGAAAGTTATAATAAATTGGTTTTTTTGTTATCTCATATCTTATTACTATATTTAGATCAATGATAAAAATTTTCCATACAATTGCCATGACACTCTGTTTAGAAAATTTTTTATGACAATTAGTGAATATTTAAAACTGTAACAAAATTTAGAAATATGAGAATCATTAATTCATTTTTGTTAAGTAACTGTTTTTGGATTTATTTCGTCTATAATTATTTTTAATATAATTTTACCAAAATAATTTCTTAGTATTTATAAACTGTATATTATACAAGAAAATTAATAAAATATAATTATCAAGAAATTTATATTATTCTTTGTTGTTAGACTACCTGACTAACTGTTAAAATATTTATAGCAATGTAAAAAATCACTATTTAGCAAATTAATTTTGTTAATTTTATAAAACTTTATTTTAACAAAATTTATAATAAATGATAAATTGTAAATTTACATTAAACTATCTTATATTTACTGAATTATTTTAATTAAACAAACTCAACACGCAGATTTTAAAAAACACTTTTTCTTTTTGATATAAAAAATATTTTATTAAACATATTGACTATACAGTAGATTATATAGTAAATACAATAACAAACTGTAGCTCAGAATAGAAATTTTCTAAAATTATAAAAGTATATAATTTTATATTATAAATGGAAAAACAAATTTACTCCTATTTTGCTTTTACCATATTATAGATAAAAATTACTGTAAATAAACTTTTCTATCAAATATCTCAATTGTTTACTAAACTTTTACATTAGTCTACATTACATTTACATTGATGTTTACCTGGCCAACTTTTCTTATCAGTAGCTAATAGCCAAAGTCAGTGAGAGTACATATACTGATAAGACCAGTTTGGCAGGTAATACATAAAAACATTTTTGTTTTGGTCATTTTATTAACTATACAATTGTGTATAAAATTATATTTTATTTTCATTAAATTAACAGTAATTTCACCATGATAACTCGGGAGTTACTGCGACTATTTCTACTTATATCACCACTAATTGCAATCATAAGCGCCTATAGTCACGGCGCGCCCACTAAATCCTGTCAAACCCTATACCCTGGTCATGGTGTAGACAAACAGTACGGACAGGCACCCTATGAGATACGGTCATCCCTGGGCCCTAATGGCAATGTCGTGGTTACTATTGATGCAAAAGGTGGACTACCCTTTACGGGATTTATGCTACAGGCCCGGTATGTCACCGACAGGGAGAATATTGTAAATGGCAAATTTAGCGAGGACAAAAACTCACAGACTAGAAATTGTAATGGCGATAATCCGGTAAGATTAATCAAGTTAATAATAATTATTTAACAAATATAATAGTTTATCATAAGTTACTATTTGAAAGTAAATATTATTTTACAAACTGATTGTAATTAATATAGTAATGATATTTTTATTTTTCACTATTATCTTGAACAATCTATAATAAGTTTATTTTTAAAATGATTGTTTTATAATTTATCAAAAACTAAACAAGATATAAGATAATACTAATTAATTTTTTAAAAATAATATTTATTAATATAATAATAATATTAGAAAAGTATATTAATTAGTTGGAGTTATAAAAATCATTTTTATATAAATATTAATTCACTTTTGCTTATGATTATGATAAAATGACTTTAAAAGTTATATAAGTTTTTATACTCTGAATCTACTTTATTGTGAATTTATAAATATTGATTTGATTGATAAATTAATAATTATCATTAACTAATAACATTTTATATATCTAGTCTACGAAATATATTATTGACATAATAGGCTCAATGAACTTTTATGCATATCACTTACAAAATTACATAAAATATTAATTTTTATGTGCATTAATACAATTAGGCTAATCTACGATAAGCACTAGTTGCTTTAAATAAAATTAACTAAGACTGTAAATATAAACTAATTTACTATTAAATTTTACATTAAGTTAATTAATTTATAAACTAAATGCAATTACATGTATAAAAGTATTTTTAGTCACAGATTTTTTGGTCATTTTAATAAAATCCAAAAATGGTTTAAAGTATTTATTTTGAATAATAAATATTTTTAGTAAAATTTTAAATTCTTAGTAAATGCTTAAAAATAAATAATATTTTTATGCATTAATTAATAATTTTATGAAATTGGCATCATGATTATGTTAATTATTAATATTATTATTCAAAATAATTGTAATATGACAAAACTTGACATTGTCTCATGATTGTCAATACATTTAAAAACTAAAATAACACATGATTAGATTATAATCGCTATATTTTAATTGTTTTTAAAAAGTTTTATCAGATATACTCATCTGATTTTAAATTTTTTTCTACTCTATTATTATATTTAAATAAATTCTTGTGTAGTCCTCTAAACTTCAATGTTAACAATGATTTGATTCATTAATTATAATGATTTCACTTTTTTTGTTTTATTACAAAGCTTAATTTTATTTTTTAATAATAATGAGTTTTTAAATCAATCATTAAATCTGTTTGAATGCCAGAGAGAGAGAGAGAGAGAGAGAGAGAGAGATTTCATGTGTTCAGGTGTTATAGCTATGAGTAAAGCGTTTGGTATTTCTATAAGGGTTTGAAATGCAATCTTTGAATTTATTATAACTTTTTTTGTGCATCTGATAAGAGAGAGAGAGAGAGAGAGTATTCAAAATATTTTGCTACAGTTTCTAATGGCAACCAATCGGGTGGTTCAACCACAACATACATGTGCTCTCACTTACCATTATCTACACCACTCCAGTCATACAACGTTGGGTCAATCTCCTCGCACCGGCAGTTTAAAAGGCTATCTTAACTCCACATACGAGTAGCACAGGTAGCAAAAAAAGGCCAACAACTCCTATGCACTATATATACGGCACAAAACAATACAACAAAATGTTTTCATAAGTTATATAACAAAATAAAAAAGTCATTAATATATTGCCTCTTAATTAGGGGATAGGGATGTCGACCGAGGGGGTGGGGTAACCAATAGTTACTATTTGTATGACTTTTTTGTTATAATTTTTATTTATGACATAAAATATTTGTAATATTTTGTATGTGTATACCGTATGTCTGTGTGTCTAATTAGCGTATATGCCCTGGGCATTATTTGGTGATTTGTTAACTGTGTTTGAATACCAGTGCTTCAGGTGAATACAATTTTGTTACTTATATACTCATTATAATTATGATATATTTCTTATGTAATAATTATTATTATGTAATGAAATTTAAATATATTTTTTAAACAAAAAAGTTTTTCCGTTACTTTCACTCAATTTTATAACTCTCTCTCTCTCTCTCTCTCTCTCTCTCTCTAAAAATTTATTTTATTTATTTCTAAACAATATACTTATATTAAAATATTAGTAATTTTTATATATAAGAATCTTCAATAAGTTTAGAGTTGACTAAATGTTTAATAGCTCGGTTGTTACTTGTAGCTAAAATCTGTACTCTGGCACACTTAAAGTTCATTATGAGGTAGCCATGAAAAACCAAGAATATTCTGTATTACACCCGGAATATTCTGTTATATTGGATGGTATGCT